CGCAGCCCCAGGCCTCCCTGCTCTTCCACATTCTGGGCCCTACAGGTATGACTTGTGCGCAGACTGTTTCTCCCCAATCATACAAATACTCTACCCTCTCTGAGCAGACGTGAGGGCTCTCTGTCCTTTTAAGTTTCCACAACGCAAACATCAGGTTGTATTTTCACAGCACCTCTGTCTCCACACAAGGTCAAGATCTCCTGTGGACAAAACCATATTTTGCCTTTGATCAGCCTTGTCCAATGTGGAGCCTGACCATGTGGGCCACAAGCTGCTCCAGAGATCCCCTGGGTGACCTGCCCCTGCGGGCCTCCCTCAGGTCCCAGGATGTAGGGGATGTAGTATTTATCCCATTTAACTCCCCCTCCACCCCGTCAGCCTGCAGAGGGGCCAAGGAGCTCCTGGTGCCACCTGGAAGCCCGAATCACAATAACCAGGGCAACAGATGTGTTGCAGGCTCTATCCCAATAATAGGAAGGCCCCGTGGCAGGCGCCTGCGTGGGGCTCTCAGGGTCCCACTCTGATCCGTGGGACAGCCCTACCTTGTTGCCCCATCCCTCCCTCGGATTTATACATTCCAACTTCACTCCTCACAGTTTAGGCTCCATGGCCCTTCTCTATCACCACTTTTTTTTAAATTAAGAAATAAACAATACATAAAACTACAAAGTATGGGGACACCTGGGTGGCTCAGCAGTTGAGTGTCTGCCGTCAGCTCAGGGCGTGATCCTGGGGTCCTGGGATCGAGTCCTACATCGGGTTCCCAGCATGGAGCCTGCTTCTCCCTCGGCCTGTGTCTCTGCCTCTCTGTGTCTCTCATGAACAAATAAATAAAATACTTAAAAAACAAACAAAAACTACAGAATATAACACAACCATCCAATATAAATAGTAATATCTAAAAAAAATGGATTTGATACATTTGCTTCAGAGTTCTCAAACCAACAAGAAACGCCCATCATAGAACACTGACATCACCTAGACTCAGTTCCCCTCGCCTTCAAAGACAACCATGGTCCTGGGCTTTAATGTGTCTCCAATCCATATTTTCAAACTTTTACTACACATGTGCTCTCCACAGATATTACTCTTTTGTGTTTCCTCTCAAATAGCAAACACTGTATCATTCTCCAGTGAATCACTTGCTTCCTTCCTTCCCCACAAAGATAACCAGGTCTGGCAGTTCTAGCCAGCCCACTTTGTCTCAAGGGTCACCTTGAAGCAAACCTCTGATCAGCTTTTGTGGAGAGAAGTGTCTGAAATCATCCCCGTCACACAAGTAGGGAGAGAGTGCTTTTCTGGAACATCCACAAACCAGATGTTGGACGTCTTAATTGATCTCGAGTTTCTTGGTTCTTGGCCTTTTGTTATATTTTCTAGGATAAACCTGATTATACCCTCTACCTATTTTACCACGTTTGTTTTATTTTCTTGATTCACTGTTCTCGGATAATTTTGTTCTCATTGCATCCTGTTACTGTAGGGCTAAAGTAAACTTGTATCTTTAAAACATTGAGGTGTCACGGACATTTAAGGAACTGCGTATATTTAAACTGCATGATTTGATGCCTATCGATGTGAAATCATCACACAGACAAGATAATGAGCATCAGCCCCAAATGTCCTCTTGTCTTTTTGTAAACCTCCCCACCATGTCCCCATCTGTAGGCGAACACTTACCCTACGCAATACAGTCTGTGTTCTTGCTTGGCTTTTAGTCAGCATGGTGATGCTGAGATACAGTCATTCTGTTGCCGCTAAGAGTACATTCCTCCCTTACAGCCAGGAGTATCCCCTTGTATGGACATACCACGATATGCTTAGTCATTCCCCTGCTGAAGGACAATTGCATTGTTTCCCGCTTTTGGCTGTTGCAAATAAAGCTATGAACATTCATGCAGAAGTCTTCGTGTAGATACATGCTTTCATTTCTCTTGGGTAATTACCTGGGAATGAAATATTTGCATCGAACTGCCATTGTACATTCCCACTAGCAGTGTGTGTGTGCTCTAAAATTTTTATTGTTGGAATCAGAGAATTCTTTATGTACTTGGATGTGGAACTCTTCTCAGATATGCAATTTGTCCGTCATGCCAGTGGTCCATTCCTGTCCATTGCTGGGTCATATTCCAGGGCACTGTGTCTCTCTGTCCACTCACCTGCTCATGTCCAATGCCCCTGATGTTACAGTTTTTTTTTCTAAAACATTTCCCTTTCGAAGGGAGAAGAAATGTGTGGGAGATATCAGAAAGGGACACAGAACATAAAGACTTCTAACTCTGGGAAATGAACTAGGGGTGGTGGAAGGGGAGGAGGGCGGGGGGTGGGGGTGAATGGGTGACGGGCACGGAGGAGGACACTTGACGGGATGAGCACTGGGTGTTATTCTGTATGTTGGTAAATTGAACACCAATAAAAATTAATTTATAAAAAAAAAAAAAAACATTTCCCTTTCGTTAGTGGAATGATGTTCTCTCCAGAGGCATTTACTTTTCTTTCATGACACAGATTTTTCTAAGTATCTGGTGATTCTTGGTCATTGGTGAACATTTCTGAAAAAGCCCCAGAAAAGCTGAGAGGGAGCCTGTACCTGAGGAGACCACGCACCTGAAGAGACCACGCCTCCTCAGACTCTCACACAACACAAGGCAGAAGGTGGCTAGCTACTACCACTGGTGGATCCCTAAGGACCAAAATGTGGAGAATGTTTTTTTCTGGGATGCCAATAGCTAGATACCCTGGTTCTCCCCAAATAGCTAATTTTTATGCATGAAAGGTCCCTTGCTCCTACTCCAACCTCACTCCTATGTTTTCCCTGAAACGGGTGTGTGTGTGTGTGTGTGTGTGTGTATATATCTTCTGGGTTTTATGTGCTATTTGAGGAGTGCTCTGTACTCAGAGCAGAGAACGGTGCCCAGTTGGCTGTTTCGAGGTATGCATTTCATCTCCTTACGTCATCTGTGGCATTAGGACCTGCCACTTCAGTAGGGCACACTGCGGGCTCTCCATCGCCACAGCTCCTGCCCTGCCTTATCAGCTCCTGTGCCTTCCAATTCATTCACAGTGATTGGAACGGGTCAGGATTGGGAGCGGGAGTAAAAAACACATGTTCAGTTTATCGTATTAAATTGCAAGCTTTTAAGCATATTTCTAAAAACTATAAAAACCATTCCTAATTTTTTTAAGGAAATACCTTTCTAAATCACTATAGGAAACATAAGAAAAAAAGGAAGTTGCAAACAAATAATAAAAACAGGAAAAAAGATAAAAGAACATCTCAATATAGCAGCTAGTGGGGGAACTGCAGCCCACTTATTCAATGGCAAAGTCTGTTTATCATGTTGTTAAAGACAACCAAACAAATGACACCTGAACCCTCGAGAGGGCTGGGAAATGCTGGATGGATTTGCCAATGATAGCAGCAGTGTTGTGGTATTCTCATCAAATTCGGAGCCCAGGCGAGCAGCATTCAGCAGGAAGATGATCTTATATTGGTAACAGGGATACATAGAAAGTTTTGCAGAATGCCAGCCTCAAAACACAAAGCAGAAACTCTTAGAAATACAAGGAAAATTTGACATGGAAGAAAAATAAGGTTGCAGAGAGTTTTAACAATATGATCACTATCCCTGAACTAACAAACCACAGAACAAACAGCAGCAAATTTAGAAAATGGCCTTGTCATCATCATAAAAGGCTTGAGGCTACAGAAGGAAACTGCAAATCCATGGAGGAGAGACTTCACAGCAGACAGGCTCTACTATATTCACAAGTGTGAAAAAGAACTAAAAAGCTTTTCAATGAAATCCCCCAAATGGTTGAAAAGTAAAAAGCACCCAAGTAAAAATTAATATCCTAGAAACACTGAGATCAAAGCAAACCTGGGAAGAACAGCTAGAGACCACTTAGGATCATAATTTGAGGAAGGTCATTAAACTCCAGGAAATGCAGTCAGTGTCACTTAGCAGAAGCACACAACCTTAAAAGCTGAAAATACACCTGTTAAGAAAGCAGCTGAATGAGGCACTCCTCCTAAGCAGTTAGGAGTACAATGAAAAGATCTCCCCTAAATGAGAAGAGTGAAAATAAGATAAAAGCAGATAGGAAGTTAGAAGATACAGAGGAAATCACCCTAACAAAAATTAGAGTAAAACAAGATAAACTGAGACTATCTAATGAAGAAAACAACACACAAGATCAGAGTGTCCAGGTGGTGTGTTCTCAGGTTGCCACCCTCTCTGCACCTGCTGTCAAACCCTCTTCTCATTTCTGATCTGTATGGAGTACCTGTGTAAATCTCAAAAGAAATACCATAGCTTTTAAGGCAAAACAAAAACAAAAACAAAAACAAAACAAACCAGAAAAAAACAACCAATCCCATTGGCCAAAGTAGAAAACAGACCAATAAGTATGCCAAAAAAAAAAAAAAAGAAAAAAAGAAAAAAAAACTCCAAACAGCAAACTCAAAGAGAGGCATTCCTGTTAAAATCACACAAGAATCCTGACAGTCATCTCTTTTTTCAGTATTGTTCTTGAATTTCTTGCTAACATAAGAAGCAAACAACAACGAAAGCAACAGCTTCAAATACTGCCAAACAAGAACTAGACATGTTTGCAAATGGTATGACCACGAAGCTAGGAAACCGGAGAACCACCAAAGAAAATGGTAGGAATTCACAGAATAACTTCCAGCAGCATGGCTAGATGGGCCAAACACGCAAACATCAATAGTTCTGATTTATCCTAGTTATAAAATGCATTTGGGGACGCAGTGTCAGTCATGATGAACAAAACGTCAAACGTCTAGGAATAACAGAAATGCACGAGATCCACATGGAGAGTGTTCGTTGCGCAGCCCTGCCGAGGACCCGACAGGACAGGACACTGCGAGACTGCTAACACTGGAGGGAAGCAGGTGTGGGGGCTCAAGACCATGCTCCTGCCTGGACTTCCTGAGGGAGGATGTGGAGAGGGGAGTCTCAAGAGGAGGACAAAACAAATGGACTTTATGTAAGTTTATTAATCTCCGTATAGTAATTAACGCAGTAATTGGTGGCAGTTTGCTAAGCTACAGGTTTTAGGAAACAGAGGGCAGGAAGACAAGATAGAACAGGGAGTCTTCCTATCAACTGTGCACGCAGCGTGGCTGGCAAAGCAGGAAGGGCGCAGCAAAGCCCGGGGGAACGCAAAGGGCCGGGGCCTGTGCTGCTCACACACAGAAGGAACATTCCAGGCAAGCGATCCCGGCTCTCAACCCAACATCCTGCTCCCACCCGTGCACCTTCCAGAGAGCATAGCAGCCCCGATCGATCGTGACGTGCTCGGCATTCCGAGTATTCCTGAGGAGATCCAGAATATTTATTGCTTTGTGTTTTCAAGCAGTTGAAAAAGGGTCATTCAATAACAAAATTTCTCTTCAAAAACATGGTGTGTCCAGGTAAAATGAAGCATAGCTGTATTGGACAAGTTTTCTGTGATTTCCGAAATCACAGGAGACTCTAAGGATCACTAACACCGAGAACATGGCTTCTACGTAAAACCTTGTGAGGAAGGGAGCTCCTGGGGTGCTCTAGATGCCCCCCGCCACCCACTGAGCAGCATCTGGGGGCCAGAGTGACCAGTCTGCTCCTTTGCCTGCTCCTGCGGTCCCCCCACTTTGCGGAGGTGGTGGCCACTCAGGCAGCACTGTCCCAGGGCAGGAGGGGACCTCCGCTGTGTGTCCATCAGAGCTTCATTGAGCGGCCAAGATTTAACAGCCTCCTGGATGGAGATTCCTTTTAAATATCTGGCAATACATGGTACATTGTTATTACTGCCATTCATCCCTGTGGACCTTTCAAGCACATCTAGAGTAAGGAATTGTTTCAAGATATTGTTTTTGCAATATTGAGGGTACTTTAAAAAAATGCCTTATGACATCCTAGTTCCACCTAGAAGGAAGAATAATCATCTTAAACCAGAGACTACTGATGTCCATGGCAATCAGCATAATGGGGCTCCCCACTGCACTGGGGACCTCTAAGAAATCTTTCAGTGGGGGACAGAGCAGCTTACCCCTTATGAGTGCACCGAGCACCCCACCCTGCAGTGGAGTCACCTGGGGAGCCAGGTGACTTTCAAAGTTCCAGATGCCTTTTCTCCAGGACTTGGCTGGGCCTCCTGGGTCTCTCCTTCCTCACTCCGAGTTCTCTGCCCCACAGTGAGAACCTGTGCACTTTCCTGGGGCTGTGACCACACTGTGGGTGCCCCTGGCCCAGCAGGGTCCTGGCTTTATCAGGGGAGGGAGCAACATCGCCTTTGGCCTTGAACTCGTGGCTAGAACAGGTTGTACGAGGGGCAGTGAGATGTTTCAGTCCGCAGAGGCCACCAGAGATGGCTTGTAATCCTGGTCTTGCACACTTAGCTGCATGCAGTCAAAAGAGGAGACTCCAAAATCAGAGAAATGGTCAGCTGGAATGCCCCAGAGTTCCAGATTCTCAACCTAGTATGCAGCCTGATATATCAACTTGCATTTGAGTCTGATTAGTGTATTATTCAGTAGCTTACAAGTTCACTAAGAAAAAAATTCCTATGGCAAATCTTGAAAAAGGTGAAGTAGCAGGAAAATGACAGAGACAGGATTCATTTCCATAATCCTTAGAGAAATAGCATGGAATGTTTCAAGTCCAACATCATTCCACTGACAATGAACTTAAAACAAAAATGGGATTATAATTTTTCTGAATTTTGGGTAATCTTCAAATTTCTCAAGGTACCACCTAAAAGAAGACAAAAGAAGAACACTAAGAAAAAAAATAATTTTGTTGCCTAAACATTTAACAGATACTGACAAAAGGGAAAACGCATTTCATTGTGCAGGAATACGGAGACTTCTTAAAAAGGAATACTAAAAACTTTGGCATTTCGGACACCTGTAGTTGGATTTTGTCTCTATCATGTATCATTAAATATGTCTGATTCTAAAGCATGATTCATAAAAAGCAACCCACGTAATTCACCTTGATGTTGGCAAGGAAAGTTAGGGACATGTGGTGAAGCTGATGAGCACAGCGGAGAGCCATCTCTCCAGTCCCCAGGGGGGAGCTCAGGAGGTGAGTCTTGAGCATCTTCTCCTTCTGGTGACTCTGACGGTTTTCCACAGCCTCCCAGAGAGAGCCGCGGCCCAGCCCCAGTCTGTGGAATAGGCACCCAGCTGTGTACAGGGTGTTCTCAGATCTGGGAAGACACAGTGGGGCCCTGCGCTCAGAATGACAGGTACTTTCGGTTTTGATATTGATGACATCAATGAGGCACCTCATTCATTTTGGGGTGGTGCCTGGTTGGGAGGGCGGCAGCTAGGTAGATGGAGTGAAAACTTAAAAAAGAACTTGATGAGATGGAGAAATAGGCAGAAAAAAAGGAGTTTCTGTTAGCACAAAGGATACCCAAGAGAAAAATCATGCTAGAACATGACTCTGTGCAAGAATGTGTGACAAAAGCAAAGTGACAGGGATTCAGCAAAATCTGATGGTTTCCACTAAGTCTCACACCATGGTGAGTTACCTGTGAACAGGTAACTAGGCCTATCAGACCACCAGGTGCGTGTGCACGCACGGTCCTGTACACCCGCAAAGGCATGCATTGAGAAGTTGCTCCGTGGACCTCTGCATCAAGCATCACTTGTTACATGAGGCCACCAGTGATAGCTCTTCTCTTCCAGACTGTGACAGGAGCGCCCATGTCAGAAGGTGGCTGCCAAAAGAGGAGCACGAGCTATGGGAGAGGATGTGATACACAATTCCTCTCTGGTTCCAGAAGGTTCTCGAAGGCCTGCATTACCCTCTGCCTGGGTACTCCCCCCCCCCCCCCCCGCAAATTCATGTGCTAAAAACCTAATGCCAGTGGTAGATTAGGAGGTCAGGGCTCTGGGAGGTGATTAGGTCATCAGGGCGGAGCCTTCAGGAATGGGATCAGTGTCCTGATGAGGGAGGTTCCCGAGAGCTCTGTGGCCCTTCATCATGTGCAGGCACCGCAGGAGGGTCCCATCCTCAGCCCAGAGGGGGCCTTCACCAGAGCTCGACCAGACTGGCACCCTGACCTTGGACTTCTGGCCTCTCCACCTGCCAGGAATAAATGTCTATTGGCTCTAAGCACCCCCGTCCCCCAATATATGGTGTTTTTCTTACAGCCGCCTGAACGGACTCAGCCGGCTAGGACGTAGGACCTGGACAGTGAGCAGGCTTCTCAGAGAACCAGGCACTGCACACGGAAGGAGATGACAGCTTCTAGTCAGTAAAAACAGGACAGCAATGCCCATGCTCGCCTATGAGACAGTCAGAGGGAGGGCTGGGCAGCACGGCTGGAAGAACTATGATGTCAGAACCATTATTAGGGTGCCTGGGTGGCTCAGATGGTTGAACATCTGCTGTTAGCTTGGGTCATGATCCCGGGGTCCTGGGAGTGAGCCCCATGTCAGGCTCCCCACTCACTTGGCAGGGGAGCCTGCTTTCCCCTCTCCCTCAGCTTGTGCTCTCTCAAATAAATAAAAATTGAAAAAAAAAAAAAAAGGAACCGTTCTTAGCTTGGACTCTGCTCACTCAATAAAGGGAGGTTTGTCAAATACGTTAAATTCATATCAAAGAAGCTATTCTATAGGAATAAAATTTGCTTTGTTAACATGATTCGACTTTTCACATTCTTTTACATCACTGAGATTTGTGAATCCAGCTCAAGAAATCACACCTTAAAATTTATAAATATGTGTGTATATATATGTTTGTAAATATTTTTAAAAGGCAAGCAGTGTATGATTTTTCTTACTATTCTATCCCTAGAACCAAAGCTGTCACTTCCGTGATACTGACCAGAGCGGGATACAAATTTTTTGTCCTGATTTTATTACTGTGGAGCCCGAGCAAAGCTTGAGAGTAAGATAACCCCTCACTGAGGGATGCCCACTTCGGGGCATCGGCTTACACTACATTGAAGAGAATTCTTCATATTCTTTAAGCATCAATCCTCTTTCTGGCTCGCCAGCAGCCTAAGTACCCCATGCTCCTGTCCTGGAAGCCTTCCTCTGGTGGACACAGAAAACCCATTCCGAGCGCTCCGGGACCGTGCTCTCCATGGCTAAGTCTGGGGATGGGGGCCGTGAGAACAAGGAAGTCCTTCACAAACATGTTCTGCTGCGACCTTATCTGTGCAGGTCATTACGCCATCTGTCATTGTGTCCTGAAGACGTACAGACTTCATTTTTCTAAGTGACATTACACTTACTAGGTAAATGCTGCAATAATTGATTTCCACAGAGCCCCCTGCCCCAGGCTCTCCTCAGTGGCTGGCCTTCCACCTGCAGGCTTTTGCTGTGAACAAGCAGGCACCTGCCCTCAGAGCACCACGTCACCAGGCACTGTGGGAGCGTGTCCCAGCCACGCAAGCGCGGCTGCTCAAGGCTGGCAGTGGGGGAGAGGAGTACGGAAACATTCTTCTTTCCCATTCCTTGACATTTTGCCCTCAAACCACAGAATCTGTTAGCAACTTGGTACAGTTGACCCAATGTCTCCAACCTAGTGCTTAATTATCAGTATAACTCTCTATGAATTTAAATATTTCACATCCAATTATAAACTCAGTGTAATCAGATATTGCTTTGAGAACCTCTTAATAAATACAGGGATTGGAACAGCCCCCTGGATTGTTTTCTTTTAGTTTAATTAGCTGGGCTCACTTGATTATTTAAAAAAAAAAAAAAAAAAAGGACAGCTTTTGTCCTCAGCTTGTAAATCCAACATTTCTGAGCATACTTCCACTAAACTGAATTCATTAGTTTTTCAGCAATTAAAATTGGTTTTGTACTGATATCAATATAAATAGCAAATGAATGCAAAAGAATCCTTCCACCTCATGAAGCTTTCTGCAAAGAATACCTTTGGGTTTTCATTAACAGAGATTTTTCATTTGAAAAATGAAATTATTTATTTCTATTTCTATATATTTCCTATTCAAATGTTGAGAGAGATTTTCCCGTTTTCATTTGAGAAAACATATTTACCACTGACATGGCAGGCTCTGGTTCAATCTTCCTCTGATATAACTTCTTAGAGTATCAGTAACATCTCATTTTTTCTATTATTAGAAACCAGCCAATGTTCCTTTTTACTATCTAATGTAACTAATGTAGAAGAATGGTATGTTCTCCAGGGGCAATGTCAGCCATGAGAAGGTGGTCTGGGGGTGGGGGGGCTGCCTGGAGAGGAGGAGGGGGGAGGGAGGAATGGAGGAGGGGGAGAGGAGGAGGGAGGGGGAGGAGGAAGGATGGGAAGATGGGGAGGAAGAAAGGAGGGAAGGGATGGGGAAGGAGAGGAGGATAGAAGGGAGGGGAGGAGGGGTGAGGAGAGGAGAGGAGGAAGGGGTGGAGGGGCGATGGAGGGAGAGGAGGAGAAAAAAGAGGAGGAGGCAGAGGGGAGAGGCTGGGAGGGAGGAGGACAAAGGGGAGGAGGGGTCCTCAGGGAACACAGCATATTAGACTGTGCCAAGATTCACTAAGTTGTCATCATCACTATTATTTTCCTACAAAGTGCTTTGTTCACACCCAAAAAGATGCATCCTAGAACAGCATGGGATGTGGGGACGTCCTGGTGTGGCACCACCTGGCCAAGGAGGAAAACGGAGGGCTTCAGGACTCACACACATGGCCTTTCTCGTGAATTAAGGCCCAGGCCATTCTGAAAGGCTAAAAGACTGGGGCTTCTGGAACACAGGACCACACGCCAGGGCACTTCCAACAGCAGGAGTTTATTCCCTCCCAGCTCTGAGGGCCAAAGGTCTGACGTTGAGGTGCCGGCAGGACCATGCTCCCTCCCAAGTTCTCAAGGAGGATCCTCATCTGCCTCTTGCAGCTTCTGGCAGCTGTGGCAGACCCTGGGTGTGTGGCACGTTGCTGCGGGCTCTGCCTATGTCCTCACATGGCCGTCTCGTGTGTGTGTGTTCACATGGCCTCTTCCCTGTGCATGTGGGCCATTTCCCTACTTATAAAGTCACCAGTCCTCCCGGCTCAGGGGCCTGCCCTCCTCCATCATGACCTGACCCTGCAAATGACATCTGTGATGACCCCTATGGCGAATAAGGTCACATTCTCGGGGTTAGGACTGCAGCATAGTCTCTGGGCAGGCATGGAGTGGGGGACACAAGTGAGCCCATCATATCAAATTGTCCCATATCCTGCCAGTGTTGGTGCCGTAACCCCTTTCCTGAGCCTTCCCTGGCATGTGCCTTTCCCTATGTCTTTCCTCAGCAGTAAGGTCCTGGCCCTAAGATCCCCTGCTGCCTGGCACCTCAAAATGTGGAGGGCTGGAGGGTGCTTCTCCTAGGATCTCAGTAACTCTCAGGCTTTTGGCATAACATCTACAAACATTAGCTAGACAGACATTCCAGCTCAGCCCATTCTCTTTGTTGTCTCTGGTTATAATCCTCTGCATCTTTAAATATGTGGTGAGCCTGGAAAGAAGGAACCTTCTTTGGTTCCTCTGAAGAGTCTGTATCTTCCCACTATGCCACGACATCAGTCAGTTCTTCTGTGGGCTTCTTCCCTCTGCTTGCCTCCCAAGAGACAGCAGACGTTGGAGAGTCTGACAATGTTCCACATCTGCACATGCCTCCTACCATGTCAGTGGCATCAGAGATCTTCATGAAATGTGTTTGGGGGAATGAAGCCAGGGAAGCAGGGCAGCGCCCTTCCCAGCGCAGGGACACAAGCAATCAATGTGGCCTCCAGCAAGAACTGCCTGTGCCATTTCCATCATCGTTGTGGCATCGGGGGACACCTGAGATTGCCCCCTCCTCAGAAGCCTTAGACTTGGTTCCCTGCACCTCAGTCCCTTCATGTGTTGGGCTGGGAAGGGCTCCCTGGGCTCTCTGCAGCTTTGACAGCTGGGATTGCTTTTAATGAGTGTATGTCGGTCAGGTGGATCACAGGCCCTTTTGGGGATCTGATAAAGGCTGAGGCCCTGCACTTTGGAAAACAATGTAATTTTGAGGGTGTACAGAGCCCAGAGCCTGACAGCAAGTGCAGGGTTGCAGGTTGCAGGGCACCTGCGTGCAGGGGCTGTGGCTGAGCCGGGCTCCTCCACGTGCAGTGCTCCTCCAGACCCAGTGGCTGGCGGTTGGCATTCTGTGCTGCAGACCATGTGTTCCTGCTCAGACCACGAGTCCCCTGCTGGACATTTCACTTGATTATCAGCTTCAGCAGCATGCTCAAAGGGGCTCAGTCATACTGAGCAAATGATGACGCAGACATGTACCTGACAATTCTTTTATTTTTTTTTTATTTTTATTTTTTTTGTACCTGACAATTCTTAAAAGCAGGTTATCCTTTGGGCATTCACAGGGTTTTGGACTTGGTTAGCTGAAGCAAGGTATACCCTGGGATTCAGCAGCTTGGACGAATGTGAACGTTTCAAATATCACACCTGAAAATTGTTATAATAAGACCAGAGGACATATTCAACTTGCTAGAAGTGTTTGAGAACTTACCGGTGATGCTGCTGTGCCCGGGTGAGTAAAATGCAGAAGGTGAAGAGAGCGAAGGCCCCACCTTGAATGGACCAGCTGGCCAGGCCGTAGCCACACCACTCAACCACCTCCCCAAAGTAGTTGGCTGCTGTTACATATTCAAATAAGCCTCCTGCAAGAAAACACAGGCAAGTGGTGCATTTCCTACAGAATGATGCCCTGCAAAACACTGACCCCCAAGATGGCCATGCGTGCTTACCTGGAAAACCGTTACAGAATTGTAAGCAAGGAGACACACCCACCATTACTAGTGTTACCATCTCTCATCACAATTTCTGGTAGTAACTACACCCATACCTCAATACCTAGACTGTTCATCTGAATATAAAATACTACAGTCTTCATGTACTTAAAGTAGGTCATTTTACTAGTCAGGGAATCACACTGATGGAACCTAAGTAAAGACAGAGAACACAGAGTAACAATTAAGGCACCGGCCTAATTGAATGGACCCATACTAGAGCCCTGGACCTAAAATGGAAGAAAATAATAGTTTTCGAGGACAGATTCATTCCTTCAGCCATCCATTTTCACAGATCTTTCCAAGTGTGCATTTCAGGCCAGGCCCTGCCCTACACACTGGGGGTGTGCCGTGGACAGACCACACTCCCTCCCGAGACACTAAACCCCAGTGTAACACAAGGGGAAGGCACAGAGCACGGCACATGGTGGGGAGTGCTGCGGGGCAGCGCGGTGAGAGGGGCCCAAGAGTCAGGCTAGGGGCGGAGGGAGGTCTGGTTGTGGCCCGTGGCTGGGAAGGGGCCTCCCTGACAGGTGAGGTTTGCGGTTGCAGTGGGGGCTGGGGCGCTCTAGGCAGCAAAGGTTTAGGCCAGAGAGCATAGTGGCAGGCTCCAAGCACCGCCTGATGTCCATAGTTTAAGTAACTTGAGATCTGTAGGGTTTTTTCATCATTTGTTTGTTGTGTTCTTTTCCACCTTGTATGGTTTCCAGGAAGATAGAGATTCCAAACCAGGCCAGGCCATGTGATTTCCAGTTCCACTGATGTTTTAGTTTTACCTACTGAGTTTACATTTTTGTTGTTGTTTTTTAGTTTCAGAAGCTGTCTTGCTTTCTATCTTATAGCTATTTAGTTCTTTTTTCTTTTCTTTTTTTTTTTTTAAAGATTTTATTTATTTATTCATGAGAGACACAGAGAAAGAGAGAGAGAGAGGCAGACTCACAGGCAGAGGGAGAAGCAGGCTCCATGCAGGGAGCCCAATGTGGGACTTGATCCCGGGACTCCAGGGTCACGCCCTGGGCCGAAGGCAGGTGCTAAACCGCTGAGCCACCCAGGGATCCCCTATTTAGTTCTTTCTATAGCATATTACTCCTTTTCTTATATTTTAAATCCCTTTTAATTATTTACACAATTAGCTATTCACTTCATGATCTGCTTCTATTAACTCTAAGATCTGGAATCTCTCCAGTGTAATTAGCTCTTACTTGAGGCACCTTATGTCCTCAAAGGTTTTGTGGCTCTACTTTCTGTTGGGCTCTCTGAGGCCTGAGTTGAAGGCAGGTCCTCTTGGGGATCTGGGCTTGTGTAAGCTGGATGTGTGAGGGCACCACCTCCCCAGGACCACATGGATCCTAACTTGTAGCTTGAGGTTTTTGGACCATCCACATTTGGTGCACATTCGGGCTAGAAACCTGCATGCAGGCAGCTAGTGGTTACAGACTCTCAAGAGTTGGGCCCTAGATTCAAGCACTCAACCAGGATGTTATGGCTTCCTTCCTTGAGACCACAAGGATGCATTTTTAAAGATTAAAAAAAAAATTACCCAACATTTTAAACTGTTTTCAGACAGAGGACCAGTTGTCTGTTCTTGCTACTGCTCAAAATGAGGTATTGGGCACCCCTCATAAACTGTAAATTCCTCCTCCTATTCTCTTTCCAAACACAGATATAACTAGTTTCTTTTTCACTTAATAAGCATTCCATTAGCCAGCATCGGCTCTTTTATCATTCTGTTAAAACAATAATCCTAGTGATTGCTATCAGTAACTGTGACTCACATGGAAAACTTGAGCCTAATACTACAAGCTAGTTACTGGATTCGGCAAAACATCCAGGCCTCATGCGAAGCAATTTGGAATCAAGTCTCCATTTTTCAGTACATACCCCTGGGAATCTTATATCCAGTCTCCCCCGGTTTTCGGAGATTCCTCAGAATATGGTCTGAATGGATGTTTATCAGCATACCGATTAACCACAAGCAGAAACCTAAAGGAAAGACAATCCATAGGAGTATTATGGTCACTAAACTATGAAATCCACAAACCCAAGCCTGAGTGAACAGGTATTACTGTAATCTGTCCTATTATCATTATTAGTAAGCCGTGTTGGCCACAGTTGACAGTAAAAATCATTATAATAAATATTATGCTTCATTTAGAAAGTTAAGTGCTACCCTCAGGTCTGCTAAATAGGGCTTTGTTTTTCTAATAAGACCAATAAATCATGCGGTCTGTTCAGAATACTCTGACCTGATGACTGGCATGCTTGCAAATACTACTTAGGACCGTGGCACGGGCTCCCTTTCAGGAAGAGGCAGCACCACTATCTGTGGGTCGGCCCACGGGAGGAGGTGAAGCCCCGGTGGTGCCGCACCACGTCGGGCTAGCAGTGCACAGGCCCCAGCAGTGGTAGCTCCTGGGGGCTCATCCTGGCACTTTTCCCTTCTTTCTTTTAAGCCCTTTTGGCACAAGTTCACCACACCCACAGCTTCACCCACCACTACTTTTCTGCTCTCTCCCCATTTGCATTCCTGGGTCTGCTCCTCTGCTTCGACTCTCAACAGAATTTCCTACTGCTGGCTATGTGACTTTCCCTAGATATCCTGTAACATCCCAGATGTTTCCTCTCCTGTACTTATAAGTCTTTGGAAATCTTTTTAACACTTAAAGGGAGATTTACCACAGGAATTAATTTCAACAAGAAAAGGTAAAATGCCCAAATAGAGTTTTATAAAAGGACTAACTTGATTTGATTAAATTGCCAACAATTTGATCATCCTGTGATATTAGAAAATCACAGAAAATATTAGAAAACTAGCAGTCTGATATTAGAAAATTAGCAGATGCTGCTTATTGGTGGCACTTGATTCACTATCAAAGAAACACATACGTGGAGTAATGCTGTCATCACTGATTCCTCAGTCACCCAGTGGCAGGGAATCATCTTCCGGCTACAACGGGGACATAGGATGCATTCTGGCCCATAGCAAGGGTTTCAAGACCTCTTCCTTCTTCCTTCACCACCATAGACAGTTTTCTTTCTAAATGGTTCCTACCAAAGCTGGTAATATGTGTTTTTAAGTCACTTACTAGATCCATAAATGTACAGTTGATTCGAGACCTGTTTTGTATTTCGTTAGGTCACCTCCAGCTAATTTGGCCCCTGATGTGAAGTTCCAGAAAGAATCATGTTCTTGAAATGCCATTGTTTTCCTTATTTCTCTTCTAGGATACAAGCACCAGATTGGTAAGAAAACTAGTATTTGTGCTCATCTAAGCTAAACATGTAATTCTGGTTTTGGGATCTTAAAGTCTTTGTATAAAATCTTTTAGATTAACCACTGTTACTGCTCTGGAAAACTTTTTGTTAGGATGTTATTATTACTACTTGCTTAGCTCTTCTCGGTAAGTAGCATAAATGTAATTAGTTATTCAAGTTACTTAGTGTTTGTCTCCTTACAAAAACTATAAATTCTATGAAATATAAGTACAACACCAAAAAAGTAACCTCGGTGTTTCCCTGTTGGGATTTTCTTCCACTTTTGATTCCATCTGCTTACTTGTAGAGAAGATTAGAGGTCTGTATACAATTTAGTGCTGCCTATAATTTTAGATCAGCTTCGAAGACATCTGCAGGGGATGGGGTCTACCTGCAGAGCTGCTTCAAATGACATTTAAATCCATATACCAAAAGGATTCTTTGTTTTGTTGTTGTTCATCAAAAGTATCCAAACAATTCACCATAGAAATGATTTGTGGGAGAGACTCAAACATGTAATGCCTATGTCCTTTAGTTAAAAATTGATTCCCCTTTCCCTCAGCTGCCTCCTCTTGGGGAGCCAGCATGGGTGCAATGGTTGCAGCCCTGGCTCTGCTATTTACTCAGGTCAGACCTGGGACTGGGTGTTTAGCCATCAGGCCTTCCTTGCTCATGTGTAGGGTTCCTAATTTCTGCCTTGTCAGGAACTTGGAGTGCCAGAAGGCATGTGTTCGGCTCCCAGCAGAGGACGTGGCCTTCTCCACAGGGCCAACACAGCCTGCTCTTTCTCCTTCTCCTGCTGGTTGGGGTGGAAGAAAATCAGGTAGCCAAAAAGCAGGTAAGGGGACACCTGGGTGGCTTAGTGGTTGAGCATCTGCCTTCGGCTCAGGGTGTCATCCCAGGGTCCTGGGATTGAGTCCCGCATCAGGCTCCCTGCCTGGAGCCTGCTTCTCCCTCTGCCTGTGTCTCTGCCTCTCTCCCTCTGTGTGTCTCTCATGAATAAATAAATAAAATCTTAAAAAAAAAAAAGTGGGTAAGTCAAGAAGGTATTTGGGGGCACGGCACCAACAAAATAACTTGGGTCTGGCATTTGGTGGGGAGGCACAGGCTTGGGGGAGCCAGCACGGCTCCTGGGACTCTCATCATCCCCCACCTGGTGGCTGAGGGGGCATGTGGCCCACTGCTACAATGCCCAGGTATGATGAGCAAGGATATTGCCCTGGGAACAGAATTTTAATTCGTGGACAAAAATAACGACCAAGAAATGTGAACATGCCTTGCCAACAACAAAATTCTCCTCCAGCGCTAGGCCCTCCATGATCACACCTTCGCGCACAGAGTGACATTGAATGACATGGGAGGCCATGTTACAGCGCTAAAGAGAAGAGCCACAGGACATTCAGAAACTTAGAAGAAACTTGCTCATCAACAAGAGCCTCAAGATGATGTATTTTTTAACACTCTCGCATATGTTTTTGACTGCTGATGTTTTATTTTCATTTTGCTCAGAACTTACAAGGCTATAATCAGAACTTGGTAAGAGTTGAAAAAATAAACACCTGACACACCTAAAAGTTTGTTCAAGTTAACATAATCAGAAAACTCTAACTGCCTTGTTGGAAGGTGACCCAGTTTGACTGTTTCTCACGTTCCAGAAGGCACTGTGGGAGGCTTAATGACGGTCTAGATTACACGGCCAATTAGCGCTGGAGCTCCTCAATCTTCATCTGCTGCTCACTCTGCTGGAGCCTGTGGCTATTTTTAGGTTTGCTTTAGGAACAGGTATTTGTGCTTTCCATGCCAAGCTGGCGTGAATGCCGGGCACCTGCATCCTCTGTGGCTGCTGGGGCCACACTCAGCCTCCCCACTGCTAGGTCAAGGATCACTGCAGATTCCTTTCTCTCAAGAAGTGTGTGCTTTTTACCAAGAAACCGCTGGAACACAAAAACCCAAGTTCTGATCAGAATGACAGAGTGCTTCCCTGGGGGGCCACTCACCTACTAGAAACCGGGGATCCGTGACCCAGTCGTCAGTGTACACGGCGTACTGGCTCAAGTATCTGCTCTGCAAGTAGCCATTGTAGACACAAAACATGAACGCCAATACACACGTGTACAGGGGCATCGGCTTTCCTCCTCGGATCAGAAATGGGAAAATCAAGGACCTTAGGAAACATGAAACAGAAACAGATTTCAATAAAACAGGCCAACGATAAGGAATGTCATTTTAGCAACAATTCTAAGTCCTGAGTTTTTTTGTCTTGTTTCCTGGTGCAAAAACCATTCTCAGCAATGCACATACTGATATACTCTGCTCAAAGTAGAATTTCTAGATAAGGAATTAACCATGTTTCAGTAACGTTCACCACGGGGCACAAATTCAGGATTGTAATTATATGGATCATGAGACAGACACACAGAGAGAAAGCCGAAGGCTTCAAGAGGCTCTCAACATTTGCGTTATCCTCCCTCACTCTCATCTGAGCTACACGACATGGGGGACACCATCCTTCATCGACAGCACAGTGGCTATATTTGCTGTGCACTCGCCACCCCACTGGTGGCACCTAGAGACACCTACCTGGGGGACACCATGACACATGCTGGACGCAACACAAGACGGATGCAGGGTGGGTAAGCAATCTGTTCATGGTCACAGAGCTAGTGAGTGGCTGAGCTTCGGTGTAAACCCGGGGAGGTCAAGGTCACATTCTTCTGTTCCAGCACACCAGTGAAAGTTTAGGGCAAGAACATATAAGGACAAGAAAGTGACTCCTTAGGAAGAAAGGAGGATGCAATACTGTAGTCTGAATTTCCTCTGTAAGGTCAGTGTGTAACACACCGCGAGAGGGCTATCACTACAAATCCCTGGACTTAAAGGGGATGGTAAGGAGCTACCCTCTACAGATTCTTGCCCATAAATGTGACTGTTTGGACATCACAGGCAAAAGCCTTAAAAGACACAGGTCACCAAAAACAGCCCAGGAAGAAACCGACAACTTGAATAGCCCTTTACTAATGAAAGAACTTGTGCGACTTGTGACGTTCTGAAGCAGCCACGAGAGTCAGGGGACTCTGTGCAGCTAGTCACCACAGGGCACAAACTCGGCTAGTGCCATAGAGGGCACTAGCTGCACAGAGGCACAGGGACATTTAAGGGGACGCCAGCGTTCTGCATCCTGATTATGGTGACGGGTACACCCTGTACATAATCATCAGAACTGACCAAAGCACAGAATTAAAACAAGTGACTTCTATCCTATGTGAATTATATCTTAAAACGGGGAAAACATAAGAGCTTATTGTTTGTTTCCATTCTGACAGTCTACTCCAGGGCAAAAACAGAGCTGATTCTTAGCAGTCATAGTAAGAGCCTGAGAGCATAAGGCGTCCTGGCTATGCATCCTCAAGGCATTCTCCTGCAACATGCCCACTCAGGTCCTGGACAGAACATTCTGGTGATCAAAGGCAGTCTTCGAGGTTCTCATCTTGTTCAGATTTCTCCCTGCATCGTGGAAGCACAGTTCACACCTGACAGAGTCGGGACAGTCAGCTGGCGTCGGGGATACATGGCAAATGCCTATGCCACAGGAGGCAGGTGTGGTTCTGACTAGGATAAGTGTGTGTGTGTGTGTGTGTGTGTTGGACCAGTGTGGCTGCTTTTAAAAACAGGTGGAGATTCTGATTCACTCTGATCCACCACTCTGGTTACAGTGCTTTTTTCCTCACCCTGTTCCTTGGCCAGGAGAGCCAGAAGGATGCAGAAGACAGAACAGTTCTCATTGTATCCCTGAAAGTCGAGGAAGCAGCCTTGTTGCTGAAGGTGGCTTAGCAGACTGATTCTCTGGCCAGGGGAAGGCAGAAAAGGGCCAGAGGATGAAGGATTTAGAGAAATATTTCCTGATGGTTTATGGTCTCAGGGGATTTTCTAGGGGGGCAAGGTATAGGACAAAGCCAACAGAGGGTTAGAATTCTGAGCGTGAAGAACTATGGAAAAAAGATCAGGAAGTAAGAACCGTGAGAGATGCCAAGGCTGGACACGATCAGGGGTGTCTGGGTGGCTCCATCGGTGAAGCATCTGCCTTCAGCTGAGGTCAGGATCCCAGGGTCCTGGGATTCAGTTCCACATCCGGCTTCCTGGGGGGTCTGCTTCTCCCTCTCCCTTTCCCCTCTGTGATCTCTCTCACTCTTGCTCTTTCTAAAATACGTAAAATCTTAAAAAAAAAAAAAAAGCTGGACTTGGTTAGAAAGATGCCTGTGAAAGCATAGAGTGCTCAGCTCCCGAGAGCCTGAAACTGGTGACCTGAACAAAACCCATGTAAAATTCAGCACCAGGTATTAGGGATGCAGGGTTACAAAGGGGAAAGAACAAAGTGTCGAAGCTTACATATAGAATCTATACTGAAAGATAAAGGTGTGGGAAGGCTTCTGGGTGATATGTCACAAATGTCTACATGATAGATGAATGAAGTGTCACAGAAGCAACTCTGAGCGAACAGTCTGCAAATGTGGTAGGCATTTCCCTTCAGCATATGCAAAAAAGCTGTAGGCTTTCCAAATGAGAATGATGCATGGCAAACTTCTGATTCATTTTTCCCAATTCTGTTTTGGGTTCAGGGTTGGATTGTGAACATCTGGCAAATGGTGGCTAGCACCTTACAGATGTGAAACCCAAACCTGTCTCGTGTTGTATTCACATCCCCCTCCTCATCTGTCACAAATGTTCCATGCCTATGATAGCAACAGGAGTCAGGATCAGATGTCAGCAAATACAGCCCCTGAGCCAAGTCCAGTTCACCACCTGTTTGCATACAGCCTGTGAATGGAGAACGGTGTTTACATTTTCAAATGGGAGGGGTAAGAATTTCATTTCAGGACACATGAAAATTACATGAAATGCAAATTTCAGTGTCCATTAACACAGTTTTGTAACACGGCCATGGTCATTTGTTTGTGTACGTTCTGTGGCTGCTCATGAGCTATGGCTCCAGACCAGGCAGGTGCGACACGACGCGTGGTGTGGTGGTGGTCTCATGGGTCTGTGTCCCTGCGCGGAGCGCTGCACATCACTGGGAAGCAGCATTCTGAGTGCATGTCACTCTACTATTCATCTTTATTCTCTTATCAGTGCACACCTGTTCCATGAAGACAAGGATAGTGGGCTCGTCATGCTCTGGAGAAACAGTGGAGTGTGGCTAATTGAGTTACCATGTCAGATGGCAAAGCTGTCCTGGCATGGAGTGACACCTTGGCTTGGCCGGAAGACTACACTAGAGGTTGACATTACCAGACTAAACGGTCACTGTGACATTGTCCTTGACCCACAGGAAAGCGATGGTCAGAAGAAATTGGGAATTTAAAACAGAATCTAGTTACAGAATTTTACAAACGAAGTGAGAACAAGGCTAGAGCTGCTGGAAGTTAACAAGTGGCGCCTTCTGTTACCAAGCGAGGAAAGCCACAGCCCAATGCTGACCTCACTGAAGCAAAGAAACACATCCAGATGATAGAACTTGTTTAACACAATTCACCTTTTGGTGAGGACAGGCTGCTTGAGGAGTCGGGATGCCAGAAGCGAGGTCAGTGAACAGTTAAAAAGCAAGGCCGAAGTTTAAGTGAGCAGTCTTTGTGGTTCCTGGGAAGTCTTGGATGTTGCTGACACTACTCAGTTGTGGGAGCCAAGGCCGAGTCTGAAGTGACCAAGGGATCTGGCTCTAAGTGGTCCCCATGCAACAACCAATGGTGACAGCATTTCCATGGACATTGAGGAAACACTAGTTCAAACAACCTGAAGTGGGATCTGCTAAGATGTTGTAACCACTGGCAGTAAAAACAAACACATGGCAGATTTACAAAGCTTGTGAAAATGTAAGGCGCTTAAAGTTATTCAGCAGATACTTTGCCAAAAATGCCAAACCAAATGAAACCAAAACCAATCTATAGCATGTGACTGAACCAGGTTTCAACAGTGAACTTGACGTTTCTTCCATAGACTTAATTAATCACGATTTTGAGTTCAGAGCCAAGACTGACATTTTTCTTTATGAGAAAAACTGCCCTCAACCACTATTATTGAATTTTGAAGGGCTCTGAAAATTAGCATTTGCTGAAGACTAGGTTTCTCAGTAAATTCAACCTAAAATTATAAGGCAAAGTATCACCTGTGTGCAAAATATACACTTGCATGAGTCACCAACTGATGTCGTCTGAACCACAAGTCATGGCAAACTGCTTCCCGGGCTTTCCATGCTGTTAAAATTAAAAGCAGCAGTGAGATCTCCATTCTCACATAAATCTGCAACAGATACGATGTCTGAGCTCCAAGTGGAGTTCCACCAGTGGTTTTTGAACATTTCAAAACCTATTTAACTGTCATTGAGGAGCTGCCACCTGGCAACTGGAAGACATTCATCTACATTGTCGTGACAGACTAAAGTATCAACAGAAAAATTGAATAGAATTCCATAAATGCCTTCCAAGCAATGAATATGTTAAATTACAATCAGAAACTTGTGGATTGAAATCAAAATTTGGCAGTACCAATGCAAGTGAAAAGACATTTTCAAGGAGAAAATCTCAGACCGCCTGGGTGGCTCAGTCAGTAAAGTGTCTGCCTTCGGCTCGGGTCCTGATGATCTCAGGTCTTGGGATCAAGCCCCATGTGGGGCTCCCTACTCAGCAAGGAGGCTGCTTCTCCCTTTCCCTCTTGCTCGTGCTCACTCTCTCCAAAATACAATCTTTAAAAATAATAATAATAAAACAGAACATCTGATTGCCCATCAAGCATTAAGGGGTGAACATTTACTGTGGATGTTGATCATGGAGAATGGTAATACTGAAGTCCAATTAAGGGAATGTTATCCCCACCAAAGAAAGAATTCTACTCTTCTTGTTAACACCTGTTACAGAAACTACTCTAAGGTTATTAGGCTTTGAATCTTCTCAATAGAAATCTTACAAAATATCTCTTTCACAACATCCCTTATTTTGTCCCTTGGCCCACAACACTTAGGAAAAGCACTATCTGGCCCTTTCCAAAAACAGTTTTGACCCTTGACCTAGATTAAGATAGGAGTCACACTCTGGAAACCTTGCTCTGACTTTCTTAGAAAATGCTTTTGCTCAAGGCCCCAGTACTTGGATTGCAGACAGCCTCTTTGGTCTG